TCTCCCCTGAGTGTGTAAAATGACTTACAGGCATTGCAGCAGTGTGTCAAGAACTCCGTAGAGCCTAGATTTTTACTCTACTTGCAAGCTCACAAATTAGCCACAATCTCATGGATGCTGGTGAAAGACAGGAGAGCCCAGCCAGAGGCAGAGGACAGGTACAGCCCGTGTGCTGCGCGAGCCTCTTGGCCACACCTGTCCCCTGGCCTCCCGCCTCCCAAAGGGGCTGATGTGACAATGTCTTGAGTTTGTGTCCCAGTTGAGGAATCCCACACTTAGAGAACCTCACTATTTTTAATAGTGTCTTGCCAATGGGTTTCAGCCCCTGACAAGTTCACTACGGATTCAGAGATGAGATTTCTTCACTGGACTGAACATTTGGAAGAAACAGACTCTCATCTTTTTCCGACGCAGAGGCTGCTTTTAGATTGTGGGCCTGTTCTTGAGAAGCCAAGAGTTATTTCAAGAGCACAAAACAGAGTGGCTTCTTAATCAAATTAAATAGCAAAATGAAAGCAATAATTACTCAAATTTACTGGGCAAATTAGCAGGACAATTTAATTGAAACACTACTTTTGATCATGAGGATATAATTAGAAAAGGTTTCAGTGGATAAAAATATCTCTGAGGCATGAATTAAATCAATTGGACAACCTGATTATAAAGACCTTATGCGTGGCGTGTTAAGTCCAAACTTACTGCTATGGATGGGAAGCGGGAGAAAGACCCATCAGCAAGTGTTCATTAACCATGGGCCTGTACGAATGACTGCGTGAATGATGACGGCTGACACCGAGTGGATTTTCCTGTCAAAGTACTGTTCTTACATTTGTACTGTTTCATTCTCTTAAAAAGTAATAAATAAAATCACCATCATTAACAGTTACACACAACAGGCCACTCCTGACCCTTCATCCACAATGCAGACGTCATGATAGAAAGAGCTGCATGGGGTACCGATGTCTGACTAAAGGCAGAAGACGGCCATGCCTTCTCTCTTCTTACCCTCATCGTCCACTTACAAGTGCCATGACTTCTCAGTCACACCGGGTTCTGTAAAACTCCAAACACACCCACGCTGGTACCCCCGGCAGCAGCGACTCATTCCGGAGGGGACACTTGGCAAAGTTGGCCCGACTAGGTTGGGGAGAGACTTTTATTCCATCACTGGGAGAGAGACTGAGCTCATGTATTTGACCTGAACAAGGATGCTTCCAGCCACGGTGCCAAATGCAGTCATCAAGGACCAAGGAGAGGACTGACCTCAGGATGGAGCCCCGCGTGAGACGGAGGGGCCCTCGCGCAGGAAGGACCTGAGGACGGAAGGTCTCCAGCTCAGAAAACCTGAACGGTGTATTTTGAGCCCCCAAATCCATCTAGTCACAAGCTCACCTCCGCTCTGGCCTTCTTGTAAGCGAGATCGCCAATGTCACCTTTGTTTGTTTAAGCCAGTTGGAGTCATACTTTTGTCACCTAAAAGCTAAATGCCATCAGTTACATGAAACAAAATAAGTGCCTTTTTGAATTCTAGCAAACTACAAAAATTAATTTTCTGTATAAATTAGAGAAATCATTTTTTGAAGTATGTCTGCTGACCCCTGGTCCTTGGATCATTTTGGGTACTTGTTTGAAGCACAAATGAGAGAACCATAGTTTCTGGGCTACTGAAACTAAAAACCTACATTCTCACCAAGTCTGCCTCTGATCCTAATGCTAAAGGTCCAGAGTCACTGTCAAGGCAAGGTGTACAATCCACAGTTGAGTAATTATGAAAGTCAGGTGCAGCCCATCTGGGCTCTTGGTTTCCTGTTTTAAAAATACATTTAAGCCTGCTCTTTGCTTCTTCATCCTAAGTGTGGTCCAAAAGAAACCAGACTAGAAACCATTGATTTGTAAAAGTGGGTACTTCTTTGCAAAATTGCTTCAAAGCTCTGTATTTTATAAAATATTAAAATGTGTGAGAACTAACCCATAGCCTCGTAAAATTATTTTCAAGGCATTTAAAATTCCTCCCCAAATCTCCTTTTTAGGGAAAGGAGGCATTTTTGAGAATAGATTCAACGAGACGCCTACCACATTACCTTATACAACCACAAACATGAGCTTTTTATGAAATGCCTTTCTGGCCTAACTACAGCTTTTGTGTTTGGACTCAGGTTAAATATTCTCCCCCTGGGAAGCCCTTCCTGCCCCTCCCCATGTCTTCCTACCCCTCCAGGGTGCCTCCCTGGGCTCCATCCCAGCTCCTCCAGGGACCCCCCGCCATCTACCCCTGCACGCCACCCTAAACACACCGCGCTCACTCTTCACCTGCCCAGGTCCTACAGGAAGCTCAGCCGGAAGTCCCGAGGTGAGGACAGGGCCCCTTGACTTGTGATAGAGCAACAATTAAAATGCCAGTGAGGCTGCTTCCAGAGCTGAGTAAGGGAAAGTGTGCTCCACACATCACCCCATAAGGAAATGAATTGCTGTGTGTCGGCAAGGTTGGGAATTCCTGGGGGAGGCCAGCTGCAAGGTGACTGAACCACAGGCTGGTCTCTCTGCCCGCCTTGGCCCCTGCAGGCTGCTCCCACCAAGCCCCTGCTCAGAGGTGGCTGCCCGGGGCGGGGAGAGCATGGCCTCTGCATCACAGAGCTCCTCAGAAGCCTCTGGAAACACCTCCTCTGTCTCACTGCCCACATGGGCCTAAGCCTGCCTATTCCGTGCTGGTGTGAAGAGGTGAGATAACAAGATTCGTTTATGGTGCACGTCCCGTTATTTCACCATACTGCACAAGAATATGGCAGTGTTTATACAGGATAACAGGATGACTGGATGGGGCTGGTCAGTGCAGAGCCCTAGACTGCCCTAGGGTCCTTAGCAGCTGCCCTGGGGGCTGAAGTGATCAACACATGAGCGCATCTTTAAATGAACCCATTTCTAGAGTGTCAGCAGTATGCTTGGGTTAAGATAAGGGGCCTTCAGACTTCAGCCCCACTGCCTGTTTTTGCAACTAAAATTTATTAGCACCGTCACACCCCCGTTCATACACAAAGGGTCTTTAAGGTCACAGCCGCAGACCTGAAGAGCTGCAACAGAGACCCTACGGCTCACAAAGCTGAAAATAGTCATGAACTGGCTCTTTACAGAAATGTTTGCCAACCTCTGGCTTAGACTTACAACTAGAGTGGAATTAGTATTAGCAAGAGCCACAAAGCCTGCTGCGCTGCCCGAACCTTTTCCTTTCTAGCACATTTCCTACGCATGTTGTGCTTTTAAGTATCTGCCTCTCCCCCTAAGTCACGTTACCTAGGGTGGCGGATAGCACCTCTTACCATCGCTTGCTGACGCCACATGATTCGCGCTAGTGTGGAGTCTGGCACCTTGTGAGCACCCACACATGCCTGTTGGCTGGATAACTGAATGCATGTACTCCTTAAACCATCTTCCATGTGGGAACAAAGGCGAGGGTTCCTTGGGGATGTGCTCTAGAGAGTGAGCAACAATGTTTCCATAACGGGATTCCAGGAACGTGACCCATATTCCACAATACAGAGCTCATGAACCTTAATAATATTAATATTTCCCAGCCTTAGGAGGAAGGTGTGCCCATACATTCCTTTGGGAGGAGGCAGAAATGAGCTCGGATCCTCAAATGCAGCAGAAACTAGGTGTGGCCGACAAGCAGGGTGTCGGCTACTATGATTGGCCCTGGAGCCATCCTTACTGAAGATGCTCCCCCTCACGCTCAGAGGTAGTTGGCAGGACCTCTGAACCCCAAATCAGCACCAGTCCTGAGCTCTCTGACAAGTGTGCTCCGTAATCTGTGACTTTCTCATTCACTCGCGCTCAGCCTTCACTGGTGTTCCCAGAGACCAGGAGCCCTTTTTTATAAAGAAAACAGGCAGTTTCATAGGATGGGCCCACTGACAAGGCTATGCCCCAGGTTCTCGTTAGGTTTTCTTTCCAAAGAAAACATGGCATGTCTGCCAAAACCATAGTAACCTGGAAAACAGAACTTGATAAACCCCAAATACTTATTCAGTGGACCCAGAACTCATTTTATCTGTAGATGATGCCAGTTTCGATTATTTCTCTCACCATCCGATCTAAGAGAAGTTTAAACATAGAAAGGCAAAAATTAAGACAACACTGTAGTTTTTCAATTGCTACCATGGCTTTAGTGAGTTTAATCACGTAAGAAATCACTACCAGTAGTAAAGAGCCGAGCTTTCAGTTTAAGTCTGACATTCGAATTTTTAATCTGCAATAGTGCGAAGATGTAAAATACTGGGGGCAGTAGTGACAGTCGCAAAAACAGGAACCGGGTTTCATTAAAACCTGCTAATTAATAAAACAACACACCACAGTAAGAGATCAGCTAGAACACTCTTCTCATCAAGTTGAGGCCTCTGTGACGCAGCCAAGAATGCCCCAAACAGCAAGGAAAGGAAGAAAGGCCAAACACTGAATTAAAATATCTCCCTTGGACACACTGTGTTTCCCGCCTAAAGAAAAGCCGATAGTCAAGTCCGTGCTGGCATTTTCCCTTCTCTGCGTTCACGGCCACCACAGACTGACCCGGGCTTATCAGCAAGCCTCAGCATCAGAGAGGGAAGAAGCTGCACAGGGAAATCTCCTATTTTTTATCCATGCAAATCGAGTGGAAGTTGGAGCACCAGCTTCTCTGAATGAGCCAGTACTGTTTTGAGGGAAGCAAGGCTTTTTCCATCCATTGAGTCAAACAAAAATGGCTCACTTTCAAATGTGTAGACTTTGGTGTGGTATCACATTGGTCCATATTTCTCACTGTCTTAATACAGTGTCTGTAATTCTTTTCCTAGAAGTTCTAACACAAAATTTAAAAAGTGACTTGGGATAAAATAACACCGACAATAGACCAGCTGCCTCAACACTGTTCTTCTTAGGGTGAAGTATTTCATCTGAAAAGTGCATGTTGACGTGAGGAACTCTCTACGCATTAATTGTCAACGGCTTAATTTTCTATCCATCTGCTTGGCGAGAGTATGTTTGCTATCATTCGTCAGTCAGTGTTTCATTGGTTCATGGTCATTGATCCAGTAACACCAGTGCTGGAAAAACATTCTAAGAAAATAATTTGTAGAGATTCATATTCTTTATATTGCTCATTACAATATGTCTTAAAATAACAGAACTGGAACAGACTAAACACCCAACTGGAAAGTAAAAAGGATGCGGTTAAGCAAATGTAGGTTTGTCAACCAAGTGAAATATTGTCCAATTATTGCAAGTTATGATGACGCAAGTCGTGTACCACCAGGCAAATTTTCAGTGGATGGCTAAGGACACTGTGGCTACAAGTGAAAAGTGCCAAAATGCCCTGATACGGCACCAGGAAGACAGGCCACCCGGAGCCCTTGGGCAGTGGGCGGACTGTCCCCTGTGCCTCCATCCCTGTGGTCTCCTGGTGACTTGTGCCCACTGGTCCCTTGTTCCTTGGCAGTTGTGCATTCCTGGCCCGCGAGGGGCTCTGTCTCCTGCCAGGTAATCCACACACATCCCTTTGTCCAAGACCCACCTCGACTCCCACCCCCCACACAGAGCTGTCTACGACTCTGGAGCTGAACTTACTGTCAGTGCCTGGTTGGAAATGACTCTCAGGTACACTGTGGACCCCACTGAGCTATTTTTAGCACATGCAGTGAGTGTTGATTTTGATTATAATTTTGAATGAATTAGTCAATGATTATAAACTTGTCAGAACAGAAGCAGTATTGTATCTGTGTAACTGGGATACTTCCCATAGTTCAGGCAAACCGTGGATGACCAGTAACTCTTCACTGAATAAACGGGGGGATGAGTGCATCGCTGTGCGTGATGCTGGTAATACCGGGATATGTTTTTCTTCCTCACCCCTTTTCCATCTTCAGTGTCTATGAAAGGTCAGGTAGGGCTCCTTTCTACAAGGAGGGCCCCCCCTCCCCCATGAAGAGAACTTACCCAGGTCAAACTGGCCAGAAACGTAGCCACAAGTCTGCCGGACCTCCTCACTGTCCCAGCCCAAGGGGTAGAGGGCACAGCCAGCACCAATCAACAAGCCTGCAAAGACATAAGACAAGAGGGCTTTACCAGCGCCCATCTGCATCTCTCACTAAGGCGGGGAGGGATCAATATTAGCAATATAACGAAAGAGCATGGCGCCCACTCTTGGGAACAAGCACCCACCACGGCTCCCTTAAGCAATCCAAGGTCAGTTTGAGTCCAAGAACAATTTCAAGTCTGCTCAAAAGGAAAAAAACAAACTTGATGGACAGCTTAGTTTGGTCCCAACTTTGCCTTTTAAAGCATTAAAAGTCTTGCAAATCCTGTTTAGGGAACACAGTCCAGAAGCTTTTTTAATCACTCTTGTAAAAAACCAAGCGACTGCACCACCATGGATTGGTGAGTTGAGGGACGCTCTAAGGCAGCGAATGGCTTGGCTTCACTTCTGTCTAGTTGCTCCTTAAACTACTGCTTTCTCATTGTGCCCCAGGGTGGGTGAGTCAGCGCAGGGACCCCCTCAGTGATATCCCTCTACTGCGGGCCTCGCTTCAGGGGCGGGGTTCCTGTTACTGTGTCTTCACCTCTCCTACCTTTCTCTGTGTGGTCCCTCCATCCTTTGCTGGGCAAAAGCTGTTCAATCAGCCCTCAGCTCTTCTTCAGGAGGAACTACTTATATGTGGGTGTAGATTTGGTGCGATGTGGGAGGAGGTGAGTTCGGGGTCTCGCTACATCACCTTCTCAGACCTGCCTCTGAGAACATCTTTGTAATGGCAGGAATCTGCTATTGTTCAGTTTCAGTAGTGTTAAATCTCTTAGTGACCTAAGGGGATTTTAATGACCCTAGTTGCATAATTTACTCCTGGGGAGCAAATGGCTCAGTTAGAATCACCGGCTTACAAACTTTTATATTAGTGACATCGGTTTTTTAATTAGATCTGTAAACCTGGTGGTTACCATGAGGGTTTATGCGGTATTTTAACCAAATTCCTTTGTCACTGCCCTAAAAGACATCATGGAAAAAAAGTCACATTATCACACTTTCTGACAATCTGTGCCTATAGGAGTAGAAGTGAAGAAACAGCCTGAAGAAGGTGAGAACAGAGGTGGGCAGACGGAGGTCGCACGAGACCATTCGCACCTACAGGCTCATTTGCAATTAAGAAGCAATTGATTTTTGAAATCCTAGCGACGACGCTGCAACTTCAAAGGGGTTACAAGTAAACCACAAATTAGCGTAAATTAGTTCAATCTTAAATTTCCACCAAGCACCTCGCTGAAGTCAGCTATCACGAGGCAGCAGGCAGCAGACCACGAGGAAGGCCCTTCTGTGTTGTGTAGGAGGTCTTAGACATTGAGAGAGGCTGCTCTTTAAAAGGGAAGAAAATAATCATCCAACGAATGGCTCAATAATTCTTTAGCTTAAAAAAGTCCTTTTGAATAATGCACTGACTCTTATGGCACTTCAAGCTGAGTACCCTAGGGTTTAGTCCTCACCCTATTCAATGGCGTATGAGCCACGTCAGTGCAATGACCTCCTAGGGGAAGCCAGGGTTGAAGGAGAAGAGAAGGCAGACAAAGGCACAGAGGCAGGCCCTGGGGGGGCTGCACCGTGCACGGTAAGGGTCCCCCTTTTAGCCCAGGCGGCCTCCAGGGCCTACACCCTAGCGGGCACTCTGCCTGCCCAGAAACCACCTTCCACAGAGAGCTCGTGGTGGAAACTGCTGGTTTTCACGCAATGCTAGGAACATCTGCCATGATGCTAGTTCTTTCTTCGGGTTTGAGTGGGAAGTCTGAAGTTAGTAAAGAGCTCAGCGGTCAAGGTGCAACCCGATGGCTGGGAATTTTCCCATCTGCAAAACTTTCTATTCAAAGTCCGTATTTAACACTTAGCCAGAGAAATATTAACATAACAATTCAGCTCCTGTCAAGAAGGCAAAACGAACCTGCAGCAGGGCCCAGGCCAATTACTCTCCACAGGTGGTAAGAAGAGAGCCCTCCTGTGAGACTCATAAAGCCTTATTTTTTTCCAAGCTGCTCTTGCAAGTTTTATGTGATCTCACTTTTTTTCCAGGACTATTGCTTCTTTCTTTTTTCCACAGTGTGTTATTTTTTTTATACTGAGACTTTTTCCACCTATTGCCCCTTCAGTGGTCACACCAGCATTTCCCATCAATTCATCTTTTATGTTTTTTTGGATACTTATCCATCCTTTCTCTTGCTTTTTGTAGCAAGCACTCAGGGAAACTGTTTTCTTTACTTTTCTCATGAAAGCTGCTCCGTCCCGCAGCCTGTCTGGACCTTCTCTGCAAGAGGATGGCACGTTTCCATCTCCAAGTCTCCATATGCTGATCTACGTGCACCCTTCCCATCCGTTCTCACCGTCCACTGATGGTCCCTTCCCAAAACTCCTTCCAAAGAGCTTTCTAGAAACTGAGGCTCAGAGGACAGAAGAGGCTTGTCCACGAACACAAGCCCAGATCAGTCCCAGGGCTCCTGGGTCCCAGTCCACAGGTCTCTCCCACCTACCAGATTCCACTGCTGGGACACAAGGCCTTTTAAGGTCCCACACTTGCCACCCTCAGACTGAATTCGGCCACAGACATGTTGGATTTGACAAACTTCATGCTTTACTAAGTGGGGCTCTTCACCTGCAAGTCCATTATTTCTTGTGTCAATAGCTGAAAGACATGCCAGCACTGAGCCTGCACACAGCTGGCTGGAGTCAAGTGACAGCAGTCCCATTAAATGA